TAGGCGCCGAATATAGAAAAGTCATTATTTGTGAAAATTATATTTGAATTAATCTCAGAGATTGTAATTTAAATGATTCGGATAATTTAAATTTCAATCTCTGAGATTAATTCAAATATAAGTTTCACAAATAATAACACTCGATTTGGTTGTTCTATGCTCAATTTAATAAATTTTTGTTCCACAAGGTGTTCATTCAATATTAGTTTAATAAATCACGACTTCATATTAATTTGTTGTCAGGATTACTTTGGAGTTTTATCAGTATGGGGTCGTGGAGATTGTCGAATTTTTATTGAGAACACGAAATGATATTAGTTAGATAACGACTGAAAACCTGGAAGCACTGGACGGCTATTTCATCCTAGTGTGAGACTCCTCATAAGTGCGCATTCAAAGCGCCACAACAGGGAATTGAACCCAGGATCTTTGGTTTGGCGCGCAAAAGCGTAATCTCTAGATCACTGATCCGAGATCCAATGTTGTTCAAGTCTAACTTCAACCAATCTGCGATAATGCGCTATCATCTATTGTCTTTGGTGGGTACTGTTTTTACATATTAATTTATTAAACGTATCATATTAAACAAATTCGATTTACGTTTAAATTTTTCTATAGAGGTAATTCGAATTCTGTTATGGAAGAAAATAACCCACAAAAAAGTATACCCATGATTCAATTTACTTTAACACATGAATCCCCTGACGTAGGCTTATACAAACAGTTCTGAAATACAAGTTTTGTGATTATATGTGTTTTACCGTAAGGTCTGATCTAAATTCATGAAATCCATCGTAACATGGGACTCAATCTAATTCACCAGAATGAATTTTGTTTGAAATATTCAATCAACTATTCTGAGCTTTATTTGACAACATACCATAAGTAACAGTTAGCTAGAGACGACCTTTATAAAATTAGTTGGAATGGAATACATTCGAAGTAGTACGAACATTTATGGCAGTTTCTGAGGAAAATTGATCACCGATGCAATGAATAAATGATGACAGTGATTTTATTTAATGAAAAATGACTTTAATCTATTCCAGAGTTTTGAAATCTCACCAGGAAAATAACTCATATATGGAGACAGAGTGAGACAGTTCCATTGATGATAAAAATTTATAGATGTCATAAGCAGGTATTCATAGATATTGTGTTGCATCAGTGGATGCAAAAAATAGTTTATTAAGTATTTCCAAGAAGAAGATTGAATTCAAGTCATCGTTCTCATCAAGGGTTTAGTCAAAGCTTATTGCATTTCGGTTCGTGGTTTTTTACTTAATCATTCCTCATAATGTGAAGTGTAAATCGATGCTGTATGGAATTCAACGAAAGTTTATTCTAAATTCAAACTCTGTTCACAGTAAAAGTGCCGTATTCTTGGATTTGTCGGACACATACTTTGTGCATCAAAGTGAGTCAATGTTATAGATGCTACGAAATACACACCCCAGAAGTATTTGAAACTGTTTGAAGACCCGTTATGAGATGAAGAGATTGTCGGAACACCGGGGCCCTAAATCTACCACTGTATGTAACCTAGATAAGACCCAAGGATTTATGGTGAGGTTTTGGTTGAGAAATGGGTCATGAGAGCAAACTTTTCAGTATTTTTCAGTTCTAAGTTCTGAATTGGATTTCGACCATCACTGGGCAACTTTATTGAGGTCTCTACTGATACAATTGCATGTAGTTTAAATTATGCGGAAAAAGTGAATTTAGACATTAACATTGTTGGATGCCGGCCGAGTCAGTGGTCAAGAGGTTTAGCATTCGTGCGCGAGACCAATAGGTCCTGGGTTCGTATCTCGTGGGGTGGGATCGTGGATGTGCACTGCTGAAGAGTCCCATACTAAGACGAAACGGCCATTCAGTGGTCCCAGGTTATCCATTATGGTCTAACTTCAATTAATTCATGAATTCAACTATTAAAAGTGAAATCACTGTCTTAAGACCATCCAAATTTAGAAAGAGTTACCTATAAAAACGAAGTTCCTGATGTTATTTATATAAGCTACAAAGACCGAAGTTGTTGAGACAATACTTTGGATTACTCTATTTGTGGTCATAACAGAGTGGCTAACATCTTTTATCTGCTTATTACATTTTTTCAAAAATTGCACTACATGAATGAAGTAGCTTGTTAAGTTGTATCTCGCTTAAAATACGTAGTTATTTCTTTGAAGAAATACAATTCTTTGTCTTCAACTAAATAAATATCCCCAAGATATTGTAGGTAATTATGTCTTATTGTTAAACTTAGTCTCATATTAGTCGATAACTAATAATTTTATTGCACTATAAGAAGGTAAACACAATCGACTAGTATTTAATTACACTTATCAACCCTTTTATATATAGCAACATACATACTACGTAAGACAATTTGTCACGTGATAAAAATGGTGTGATCAATTTGAAACTATTCATTTTTTTGATAAATATTTGAAACATGAAACTTATAAATTAATGTATTTCAAAATCATGGATATTTATGGGTTATATACCAGCTTTCTGTTTTCAACAAAATAAAAACTCAGGAACTATAAATTATCTTATTATACAGTATTTTTCAACGTTACCTTTAACCTTGACTAGCATTAGTTCGAAAACCCTTAGGAAAATTGAAAAACTATGTAACGTGTTATGTTTTACCCACTTTCCTCATGCATTCTATCATGAATACAAAATTAAAATTTTTACGAAATCCATAATACTAAAGTATAGTAAGTTGCTAATGAATATTATTATTATCAAGAACGAATACAATTAGTGAAGTAAATGAGATCCATTTAATTATATTGTAATTCATAGTACTTAAGAGTTCACATTTCAGCGCTAAATTTCGTTCAGTTTTTCATCTTTCATACAAGAAATAATGGATTAAAATCTTGAGTTTTGAATGAAAGGTAATGTTCAGTCAAAAATTGTTAGTAAAATTTGGATCTTTATTTTTTATGGACTTTCGATGGAAAAAAATCAGTCCGTGCAATAAGAGAATTGTTAAATTGCTTGAAGGACTGTAGATAGCTCCAGACTAAGTTATGGAATCGTTTACTCATTAATGATTCTTTAAATCAAATTAGCGATTGAACTCATTGGCATATATAGTGGTCGTATGTTATTCAACGTTACTCTTAATTGCTTAAAAATCTTAACCAATATATCAATCAGGATATCCTTTTACTGCTTATTTATAAAATAGCTGACAACTATGATTGTCTTATATCCGTAACAAAAATGATACCAAACATTAAGCTAATTCTTAGCTTTAAACTAAACATGAGTTACGATTATTTCAAAATATGCACGAAGAGTATAGTAGAACAGAATGTGTTATGAAGTGAGTATAGTAAACTTGTAGACCTAGCACAAACTTACTATAACTAGTCATTGTATCGAAGCTAAACAAGCGATATTAATTAGCTTTCTTAACTCGAACAGTAAAATTATAGCTACTTTAAACTAATTATGATCTGTCAACAATTTCAGATATCACATTATCCATAAATGAGGTGCAATTGACATGACACCAAACAATAAAAACTAGTTCATCATTTTTTCTTTAATCTAGAGTGGTATTTGTGTAACCGCATATGTTAATATGTCAGTTTTATTGATTATTCATAAATAAGCAATAATTTAAATAATATATTGTGTATCTAAAATTGTATACGTATATATACAATAAAATAAAAAGAAGCTATTGATTTTTGTTTGTTATCGTTCAGTTATTTTGGTAGTGAATTTATAACGTTACTCACAATTTGCATTACTTCCATGGTAACAACAAATCAACTCAACAATATTAATCATATAATTTTCGTCTGAGGTTAAATATTAATCTCTTTGATTAGGAATTAAATGAAGTAGCCCGACTGCATTATAGTGTCAGTCAAATAACTATTCATCCGTACATGGTAAAGTAGATTTTTTGAAAACATGAATATTTTCATGTTAAACGTACTCTAATATTTAATTGACTGTAACGAAGTGATATTTGTGCAATACGTTTTACATAACATTCACCGATGACTTACAATGACTATTTAAAATGAGTGTCTGGGATGATTAAATTCAGAGATTTGTCTAAATAAAATATTTTCTAAATGCTTGAGAAAGTATATAGTCTTGTGATCCTATTTTCAATTCTAAGATTTCTTTCACCAATAGTTTATCTGTATTATGATCGATATAAATGTAAAATTGTTTGAGAATATATGGACTGGGAAACTGCTCGACTTTGAGGCAAAGACAGAGCTATTTGATAAAATAAAAAACCATACTCCATTACTTCATTTGAAAAATGTTCATTAGTTGTTTCAGACTTCATTGTTCCTGCATTTCCACACCAGGTGCCTTCTGTTCCCACTCCTTCCTCCTCGAACTTCTCAGCCTTCTGCTGCCAGACATTCTATTCCTGACTATTGTCATATACCATTTATGTCGACGTAAATAGCACATACCACACTTGTAGTAAAGTCATTTGTTTTAGTTTCCAAAATGCTGATGTTCATGTTATGAATAGTATAAATTACATTACCAAAGTGTCATTTCGTTGTATATTTTTTCATAGAATAATTCTATTTTACGCTTACAATATCCTGATACTAAGGTTTTGCTCTTCAACAGAAGTAAATTATTTTAGCTTGTATTCAAAAATGACTATATACTTTAGGGGTAATGAAGTCAAGCTTGTTCTCAAATAGATAAAACGAAGCTTTGCTACCAGCAAGCAATGTGTACTTCAAACTCCTGAGCTTATTGTAACAGTTTGGTCTTCTGTTGTCAGTATGCTTAACTGTAAATGTTACAATGAAAAGTTAACTATTACCAATGGTCGTATGTTCAATTAGTTTTGAGTTTTAAAATTTTTGTTAGATAAATTGATAGATAATCACGAAAATGTTTGTAGTTCATATTCATATACGTTTTATACATTAACTAATGTTTACAAACAAATTAAAATTACAAATATTTTTCACACCTTTCTTCAGGTGTACTGATGATTACATTGGTGATTATTGTCAATTCTATGCTGGTAAGTTCTTGAAATTAGTTAATGTTTATCCTGTACATACCGAAATCTCTATATTCCAATATGAAAGCAATTGATATGGTTATCACGAGGTTCCTAGTTATGATCAAAGTTTAATGATAATTAAAACGATATTGTATCTGTCAAGTGATGCATCATTTCATTACGATTTATTTTAACGTTTAATATTAATAATTATTTGATAAAAAATATTAGCTTATAAACTTAGATCTCATTGACACTTGTATATAAATGGCATTCATACTTCATGACTTTTTGAAATTATTCACACCAGCGGTCTGCATTCAATACATTGAATAACAGGTTTTCATACTGTTGTTTAAACAAATGTAGATGAAATCTTGTAGCCGAACTAGTGGGCAAATGAAGCACTCAGTGAGTTAGCTAACCTGTTTGACATCATGGACTTACTTGGGTTAGAGAACAATTAAAGATCAGAAAGCTATGAATAACTGTTTTTTATCCTATTAAGAGAGCCTCCACATACAGATGATCCTACAAAGGACCGAACTTAGGACCTTCATGCCTTGAAGCGAATTTTTCGAACTTAACTCAATCCATGATACATAACTTAAATTCAATAAACCCCATAGCATCCTATAATAGATAACAAGTATTCACTTATTGATTATTTGATCAGTTGTCCTGCAGAAATTTGTTTCTTTATTTAACGTGAAATATAATGAATGAATATGTTTATGTCATACAAGACGATTCGATGCAGTTATATAACGATTTTGAGCTATGTGAAAGCAAATTTTATAGGGAGGTGAGTTCTACTGAGTAAGTAATGTGAATTACGAATCAATGGATGACTACTTTATCTTACCCTATTATTGATTATGAACTGACTGTTATATAGGTGAAGTTTTGCAATGATACCTGAGTGTTTCTAGTTCTATTCACTGTAGTGTTATGTGTGTATAACGCAAAGTATTCCGAGTTTAGATAAAACACCTCAGTTTTTCTTGCCTTATAGCGTTATCCAAGTACTGACAATCTATCACGAAAATCTTTAGATTTCATATATAATATAGTACACAACAGTTATACACATTAGGAACCAGAAAGACCTTAACAGTAACAATCTTTAAATAAAATCATTTTAAAATGTATTAGATACCACGTAGTGTTCAACAGATATTTTGCACAAGTTTTTCAATTTATTTAAAAGTCTCAATTCTGAAGTGACATGATAAATGTCAGAATTTTACTTCTAATTATAATTTAAAATTAATGGAGCTTTCACAATACTTTCATTTGAACAGTAATTTACTATTTCTTCTGATAAACAAATATAAATGCGCTGAAATCTGTAAAGTTTCTAACGCTCAGAGAAACCTTTTAATCAAGCTTTGTTTAGTTAAAGTATTCATTGAAATCACCATACACGTAGAATTGAGAACGTTTTCATTAAAATGTTAGATATTCCACTTGCACACTCTAAGTTTATCACTATCTCAACCACGTTTAAAGAAATTTGTTCCAGGATTATACGTGGCTGAATGATTCCAATAAGGTCTAAAAAGAAAATTTTATTCATTTAAACGAGATGAAACATCAAAGTAAATAATACTTTATTACTAATACTTCCTAACAGATACACTTTGCTTCCTACATATCGATAAATTTTCATTAACATTCTGAGGCTTAGATATATACCTGGATATACACTCAATTTTGAATGATTATTTAGCAAGGCTTCGGTTATCTAACATTGATATTGTTACATCAAGTGGTTTACTGGGAATACACGATTGTAATGAAATAGTTTCTACAGGTTACATTGTTCGATACAATGTAAAATCGTTTATCCGATTTCTAATCTGTGACATTATTGATGAATACTACTGAAGTCAAACAGAAAAAAGAGTAATGGATAAGCTACGAACTAAAATCAACTGACATATCGTACACATTTTCAATCCAAACAACACATAAGGTATGATATTTTACAATGAAGACCATCAATGATCAGATGTAATACAATCATGCCAATCGCTGAAGCCATTGTTTGTTGTTCTAACCCATTTATGAAATTGAAACACATGTTGTCTAAGTGGAAACAATACTTGAAAATTAGTTATTGATTACAATAACACATCCATATCTACTCTTTATCTTCATTGATTTTTTAAGCTATCTTGTACGGGTTTTCATCTATATTTATTTATATGTTAATTCATTAGATCTAATAAACCTACCAGTAATTAAGTCGCTTTTCTTAAAATCAACCCTAAAATTTTTATCAGATGGGTTTTGTGGATATTATAGTAATTTCAATGGTTAAGATCTTGAGTCAGCTGAAGCAAAACCACCATGGAAAACTTGAAAGCACTGGACGTCCGTTTCGTTCTATCGCGCTATTTATAATAAAAATAATTTTATCTAATTAAAGTGAAAATAGAATTCATTTCGAGTAGTCTTCAGTTAACTGATTACTCCAAACGAAGATGTATTACTTTATTTAAAATGTACATATTTTGACAAATTTAAGTTTGATTTATCTACGAGAGATAAAGTAACAATCTAGACATTTTATTTTATTTGCATAACTTGACAACAAACGTTTTTAGTGATTTCATTAAATACCACAGCATGAAATATTAAACCAACTTTGTCTCAAATTATTACGCTAATAAATCGAAAGTAAATTAATTAATAAATAATAGAAACTAATTATTCATTTCATTTATTCTATACAGTAAATATATTTGAATTTAATCCGTAAGTAATGAATTCCCAAACGTGAATTAATTGTTTTGTAAGTTATCAATTAAGCTGGTCGTCAAACGCTGATAACTTTTAGTAATAATTATTAAGAAAAAGCAGAAAATTGTAGTAATCTTTCATTATTAACTAATATAATCAGGAGAACAATTGAAAAAAAACATAAGAAGAACTGAATAGCTTCTCTGTTTCGGTTGAAAATCTACCAGATTTCTGCGCGGCTGCCTTATCTTTACGTCTTACGATGAGCATGATACCATTAAGTCACAAAATTCAAATACAACATCTTATAGTGAAAGTTTTTATCAGTTGGAAACGCAAAGCTACTACGATACAACTTCAGTTGAAGTTACATATCTTAATTCTGGTTTATCGATCGAGGCTTGTTACTCAAACTTCAATAAAGTCACTTTAGAAATTATTTAGAAGTGTTCTATTTGAACACAATAAACTTAATGTAACGTGCCTGTCGTAAAAATTGAAGACGATAGGTTCAGTCTGGCCTATGGATCCATAAACATATTGCTCTTGAGAAGTTTAGACACGTTTTTCACTAAAATGTTGAATAAATTTACTTGACATAAAATGAGGTTATCTGACAGTTTTAGTATTCAACGACGACTGAAGTTATAGACTCATATTTTTAAAAATTGTCAATAATTATGCCAAATTATTAAATGGCTACTTTAAATACATACTTTTGAACAGAGCTTATCAAGCTCGACATTCTAGCTATAAGTTAGAACGGATCTAGAAAAACGAACAAATCAGACTTGAAAATCTCCGGATTGATTTTGTTAAACTGTTGTCAGATCATACAAAAGTAAATCTTATCAAGGTGATAACTGAATATGCACATGAATAGTAAGAAAATTAAAATCAATTATCATCCTAACTCCGGTCTAAAATTAATTTAAAATATGAGAATCCACTTTCAATGGAATGCTTTGGGAATGTAAATAACTTCCGAGAAACATTTGAAGTTTCACGTTATCATTTTAATACATCCGCCTATAAACGTACATACTTGTAACAAGTGGTTTAAAGAAAAGGATATTTTACTCATGTCTATAAAGTAGTACTGGTCGAAACTGGATAATTTACAAAGAGAATTACATTTGCCGATGACAGTTAAACTGTTAAAATTGTGAATAATCAAATACATTAATTCCAAAGAAATTGGTATCGAATATCAGGAATTATCAACCGGTGTTATTATTTATTATTTATCATTGAGGTTGGTCTAAAAATTTCAATCTATATCTTCTGTTCTACGTTTTCCCTGTTAATTTTAATAAGTATCGACAATGAGGTCGAACTGCTTTACTTATATCCAGTTTTATTAGAAAAAGTATAAATCCATTCATTGTAAAATAAAACTTTATTTAGATATTAATCTGAAATATAATGAACTACTGTACTATTTTGTTCCATATATATATATATATATATATATATATATATATATATAGAAGAATAAATAATATTCAACATTTTTCTTTGTATATAACAAGATTTATACATATATATATTTTAAAGGGTTATAGAGTAGCAAATAAAACTTCCATTATAAACTTTTCTGTTCTAAAAGTAGGTTAAAGAGAAGAACTATTCAAAATGATATTAATAGTTTCTGACTTTTTTCTATGTGACGTTTGTCAATTGTCATCACATAACCATTAAGAATTGTTGAATTCGATTAGTTTTATAATTTGTAAACCCTGTTGTCATTTGATATCTTGTTACCTAAGCGTCTGTGTTGGTCAGCTATTTGTGGTAAGAAAAATAGTAGGAAACAAAGGGATTACTTAGCATAATTTAAATCTGGCCAAGCAGTACTCAAATTTATCAAATATCTTATCTTGGGGAGTCAACGTAAATTAGTAGATAAAAGTACAGTAATAAATCTTTCTCTACCCTGGTAACAATAACCCCCACTCTTTCTATTCATTTATTTATTTATTACGTCATTATTGCAACTCTTTCTGAAATATAAATTACATCATACATAACCGATTGATTTCAATTCATATTTTCTTTATTACCATTAATCTATTTTCATGAGTTCTAATCACTATTTCAATGTTCCAGAACTTTCCATCTCTAACTTTATTTATTTATTCGAATCAAACATTTTATGAGCTCATTAACTCTATCTGAATATTCGCTACATCATCATACACATGTATTGATCCTTAATCACACTCTTATATATAAATATGTCAATATCTGTATTAATGTTGAATTTTAAATAATTTAGGTTGTAAGCAGCTGATGAGAACCTAACGAAATAAAATGAATTCATATTATTCTGCACCAATCTTGGTTCTTGCTCTATTTAAGATAATAAAGGGAACTATGTGTATACAATTTCTTTGTTAGAAACGGCCAAACTATAATTAATTTTTAAATGTACGTAGTGGTTTCGAATATCTTTTATAAAGTTTAATCAGAAAATTACAATTAATGGTAAAATAAATAAAGTTATCATATTTAATAAATTTAAAATAACCACGTGGACATTCATGCGGTTTTTAAAAAAATTATATTTAAACATAGAATCTTTTAACAAATTGGGGAGGAATTTTCCTGTTTTAATGATTTTAATAAGTAAGATAAAATCAGTTACGAGTAGTTATTTTATAGAGATTCTTAATAAGCCACAAAGAATTTGATGTCTGATTCGTATTGGTTTACGACTACCAAGTAATACAAACCGATCAACACACTGTAGATTAAATTATAAGCCTTCTGATTTTGCAACCCAAGTTATATTTTTGTTTAAATAACATAAAGTAATATAAAATTAATAGATGTAGATATTTGTATTTTAATAAGAAGTCATTTCGAATCAAGCTCAAACGGGTATTATCTTCATACATTTATGAGTATCAAGATTGAAATTTTAGTTTATTGAATTTTCATATCAGTTTCACTAGTTGACATTTTATTACCAGTAAATGTATAACACCAGAAATTTACATAACTAACTTTCATTAAAATGAATATCTCTGCTCAGTTCAACAATGTTTCTTTGGTGTTATTTTAACGCTAGTTATAAGTACTTCTTCATTTTTAAAGGTTACCAAGGTGATGACATTTACACGTACCATCCCTTGTGTAATATTGATTTTTATAAAAATATGCGAAACGTAATCACTTTGGTAAACATGAACAAACAGAAACCTATAACAACAGTACCATATACTTATATATAATATAGCAACCATTGTTAAAATTATGCCGCTCGTTAGAATTATTTTTATCTGATGAGTTTCTGTAACAATAAACAAATATATCATGAAAGATATGCGCTTTTCAATATTATAGTACACACAAATGAAAAAATCAATAGTTTAAATGTATTCACTTCTTAAAATACTTTTACGAAAATTTATGCTAGTTAATTTGTCCTGACGTTGATAACAGTATAAAGTGAAATATGGTTTTACTCAAAACCCTCAAAACAAAAATTTGACCTAGGTTTCATGCAAGCTAGCAGCGATCAGGAAGGTAAGCCTGACATCTTCAAGGAAGTGATGATTACAGTTAGATTTTAACTCGCTTCAAATACAGTCTGAGATCTCATCACTGAATTATTTCGGCCGTTACCAAACTATCACAGGAATATACAGAAGGATTTGCTGCAAATAATACTATCCTTTACAATTTTAACCCACTTGATTTCTCTGATAAAGATTTCGTAGCTAGACAGAGTTTTGTTCTTTGAGGTCGATGGTTTGGTCGTGGAGCTTCCATCGTTCTTCTGAACGACATCATCAGCACAAAGTGCTTCTACCTGAAGTTTGTGCTGATGATGTCGTTCAGAAAAACGATGAAAGCTCCACGATCAAACCATCCAGCTCATAGAACAAAACGCCATCGAAATCATTCATCTGAGCTGCGAATCTCCTCCACCATTTTGTAGCTAGGTTTTTTGTCACAAGGTTAGTTTATTCATCTTACGTCCAACTTTTCTCCCTTATTCAATTTCGGGATTCCAGTCAACACAAGCAATTCAGTGTATTACCAGTCAAAATAAAAAAACCTAGTCTAACATATTCATTATCATTTAGTTTGAGAACTAAGTGTGAAAAAGTGTTGGTCATATTGATTTTAGATTAGTGTCATATAGAAGTGGGACCAAATATTTTATTAAATCTAATGGTGAACATCATTTAAACTCAATGTGTATCCTATGGATATAAAAGAAATTTTTCACTTCTCATTTTAGTTACTCATTAATATCGCTTGCCCAGAAGATCTTGTAGATTTGCCAGTCACTAACTATTTCAATCATTTCAGTCATATTGAAAAGATAACATTTACTATCATACTGTATCATTTTACTTGACCAATATTATAAACAGTCTAACTTGATCAAAACATTTTTCGGTGACTGATAATAACATTTCTAGTGTTATGTTTATGATAGCAGAAGAGTTTGGACAGAAAGTTATTTGAAACAAATATTCATTTGAAATTCTTTCTTTCTAATACTGCTATATTTTAGCTTTTTAATAAGCTGTATAAATTAATTGATTTTAAAAGTAAGTCTAACTACAAGTCAGTCTCAAATCTATCAACCTAATGACATACCTCAAAATTAAAAAAATTCAGTAGATAGTTATACACGCCAACCAAACGCGGGTGTTTTTATCACAAACAAAGTAATGTGTTAGATTGATGCTGAAATTATTTAATAACTGTCTTATACAAGAACATTTCTAATTTAAGTTATAATTATAGAAGTGAGTGTTATTCAAAAGGATGCACAATAATGCACAGTCGTTAGATGAGTTATGTGTGAAAACTAGAAGCAACTTAGGTGACTGACAGAAAATTTTCTAATTTAAAATTATTTTTTGTAGTTGACTAACACCAGACTACTTGACATGTAGTGACTTCACTGAAAGAATACTATGCATAGCAAAGCATAAAAGGAATATGGGACTGACCACTACTCAATGATCAATTAATTTCAATGGTTAAGATCATGAGTCAGTTGATGCTAGACCACCATGGAAAACCTGGAAGCACTGGACGGCCGTTTCGTCCTATTGTGGGACTCCTCAGCAGTTCGCATCCACGACTTCGCCCCCTGCGATATTCGAACTCAGGACCTACTGGTTTCGCGCCCAAGCACTTAACCACTAGACCACTGAGCCGGCATCCAACGGTGTTAATGTCTAAATTCACGAGGTATATCCTAGAGTTTTAATGAGAAGTAGTGACCAGTGGAGTTCAACCGGGTCTGTTGTGAGGTAGTAACTCACTGAAGACAATGGTGAATGTGTCGCTCAATTTCGTGGATTAGTTGAAGTTAGACATTAACACCGTTGGATGCCGGCTCAGTGGTCTAGTGGTTAAGTGCTTGGGCGCGAAACCAGTAGGTCCTGAGTTCGAATATCGCAGGGGGCGAAGTCGTGGATGCGAACTGCTGAGGAGTCCCACAATAGGACGAAACGGCCGTCCAGTGCTTCCAGGTTTTCCATGGTGGTCTAGCTTCAACTGACTCATGATCTTAACCATTGAAATTACTATAATCTCCACAAAAAACCCATCTGATATTGATCAATTAATTGCAAATATCGCAGTCCTACGAGAGATCAGTTGAGGCTTGAATAAAATAATGGTAATGGCGAGAACTGTGAAGCTGCGTAAGGCGGATTCGAATCCATCAGGACGGATCAGCTTTCTGAAGTTAACAGACACCTTTTATTCATGAGTATCAGCTAGCAGAAAACCACAGTCAAAGGTTAACTGCTGACTATCTTCAATTGCCTGATTTTCCTTAGTATGAACTACAGGATCGTTTGAAATCTAAGTATATTAGGGTATTAAATTCAATATAATTAAGAAGCCTTCAGCTCTACACACACCAAGAGCATTATATTTGTTCGTAACCTTTTAAATGTTTTGAAAAAATGACGTGAGTTTAGTAGTCTCTTTTGTACCTGGAGACCTATCTCAACAATTCATTTAAATAAAATGTATTTCAATAGAGTTCACTATGTTAAAACTGAGCTTTGTTCACTGTGTTACTGTGAGTCAGAGCGATATTGTCTGATGGACATTTATTCCAGGTCTTATGTTGTTCAAGATCAAATAAATATGAAGTTAGGGATATCATGCCTAAACTGTGATCATCAAACTTAATAACTCAATATCGTATTTTGAATGAATAAAATCAGTATAAGTATCAAGAATTCATCTCAATGTTAACATCCATAGCTTTGAACCTAGCTAACTCATTATTTGGTTTCTTATAGACTGATAATTGGCTTGTCAGTGGAAGTTTAACCAAATTTAGTGGTTCAAATGAATTACTTTAAAATAACCAACACTAAACCGTTCATATATTAGTCAGTCATTACAGGCCACCAGGGTTTTTAATACATTTTCAGGCTTAATTAAATCGAATTATGTTCAATTAATCGATTTATACACTTATTCTTTAATAAATATTACATGTTGATCAAATTTAACTTCATTTATTCTTTATTCCCTTTTTTTCATTGTAGGATTCTATTCTGCTACAATCGGTTTAGTCGTTGGACTATTTGTTACACTTTTAATAATCTTATTCGCGGTTATTTTAATTTGGTATTGTTGGTAAGTTTGTCTGTGATTCTTATATCTATGTGTATGAGGATTTTGCATTTACTAATTGACTGAACAATCATTTTCAACTGTTAAGATGGTTCTGTGAGTTCTTGGTTTTAAAATCAGTTTAAGACCATGAACTGAAGCGTTTTATGAAAATGCTTATAAGGAACAAAATACAATCATTTAATACTTATGTATTAACAGTCCATCTCATTAAATAGTAAATGAATATATCAATCAACTCTAACGTTGGGGTACTGAAAAACCTGTGCTTTGTATTTATATGAACGTAAAATTAGGTCGACTTAGATTCATGCATTCGTGACACCAATATTTACATGAAATATTAGGTGTTGGACGCTGATTAAGTTCTTTTAACCAATTCAAATAGCATATTAATTTGCACTTATATGACAAAATAAATGTGAAATTTGGCAGTGATTCTAAATGAAATTCATTGAAATCCAAAAAAATACTAAACATTTATTAGTTTATTTTTGGAATGCAACTCAGCAACAGAAACCTTGTATCCGTGCCAGGATATGGCTTTTCCCTGTCTACAATGATATTTTAATTGATATTAGTTTGTGACATAAATCATACTCAGAATGTAATTTTTGTTACTTTTAAATTAATTTGTTGATTATTATTGACTATACAGTGAGATGTGTAGCCGTCATTATTAAAAAGATAAAATCAATATAAAGTTATTGAGTTAAAATGGCAGGAATGAAAATACAACAATTAAAACAACAAAACACTGTCATGATGATAAGTTGCTACATCGTTTGAGATGACTTTTCAAATGTATTTCAACATTGGAATGAATTAAGAATGTTTTTTCACAACATCACAAGTTCTATTTAAGATATATGTGAATATTAAATTTATTGAGTCACATAAAAATCAGCATGTGACAGGGATTTTATGAAATGTTATTGAGCTTTGGACTGTTATACAATTCACCATTGAACAATATTAATTCACACATGTTTAAAAAGAGATTAGTAAAATATAAGTATCCATCTTTATACAGAACACTAATAGAATATGTTTATACAAAAATGTGTAAACGAAGCTTATGTATTCCATGAAATCACTTAAATGTAATGGAAAAAGTCAGAAGATGGACATTTGTTCTTCATTTGAAAATTCGTGCAATTCTATTATATTTTAATAAATGAATCAGTGAAATGGTTTTCTGTAATTTAATCAAACTGAAACAAAAAATATAATTTACTTAGTCAAAATTAATTGAAATATTTTTTGCAGTCTAGAATTATGTTGGAAATGGTACATTTAAAAGGGAATGTGTGACAAATTCAGTAAAAGTAAATACCAATCGTAACTGGCAGACTTATCCTGTGTTCAACGCAGTACAGCAATATTTTTTTTTATTAAAAATTAACTAAATTACTGAAACTGCCCTCTGTGGTGTCTCTTGTTTAGCCCGAAACCGCTCCCAACATCCATTATTTGGTAAATTATTCTACACAAATATTGAAGTTTAAAGACTAGCTTCAATACATATTCTGGACTTTTTTTTTCAAAGAAATCAATACATGTAGAGTTCAGACATGCCGAAAATTAGACAGATGTCATAGACAGAATGATGTGATCATCATCCTATATTGCGAATTGCCTGAACTCAGCCATATTAAAGTTAAAGGTTCATCATGAAACCTGAAGCTCCTGTCTTTTATTCCTAAGGACGTTGTGATTGTATACAAACGTAAAATCCCAAACCCAGACGAAACAACTAACCAGTTTTCTGTAGTTTTCTTGAAGACAACTACCTACATTATCTAATAACCTTAGGGCAAATATCTTGAATAGTAATAATGCATGATTTATAAAAGCTGATCCAGAAATTTGAAATGATAATGTTTTTGGTGGAGTTTTGTTCTCTGAGCTGGATGGTTTGGTCGTGGAGCTTTCATAGTTCTTCTGAACAACATCATCAGCACAAACTTCAGATAGAAGTGAAGTGTTTGAATTTCTCCATATGTGTTTCCACCAAAATCATCCACCTGAGCTACAAATCTTCTCCATCATCTCGAAATGATAATGTAAAATTGCCTACGCTATTAACATTGAAATTAAAAATACATAATTTTTATTCACTTTTTTAAATATAAATATTTACTATACTGAATTTGAATTTAATTAAATATTTTGGATAAACGATTACAAACGACCTGACCGATTGCAGTATGTTGAAAAATAATATTCAATAAATCTAAACAATTTCTTAACAAATGTTGAATTCCGACATAACACTTAAACGGTCATTATTGATGAAATTTTTTCTTACTAAAAACCAAAAGAACTTTGTTAGAAAATTAAATGGTGAAAATAATTCCTGACCAGATGTTTGTCTGAAATATTCGTGTGAAATTAACATTTTATATACAGACATCAGAATATGAATAGGCATAAGTGAATAGGACACAAAATGCAAAACATTATTATTTAAACACTTCGATTCAATTGAATTCCATTCACAAATTAAATAATAATAAGATATTTTTGGTGTAATTGATATCATAAGTAATAAACTTCCTGTAAGTCTAAGAAATACATTTTTCACATCTCTCTCAAGAATCTTACGATTTCTAACAGTGGAGTAAAAATTACAGTCATTGAATGTATTTCAAAATATGCAGAAAAGAGTGAGTCGAATTTGGATAAAGAGAATGACCACAAACAAGTTTTCGTTTTTGTAGTCTATAGAACTGTTTCAAAAGTACTACATGCTTATAATAACATAATTTTGGATCATTAATAGGTCTTCATTGACTTTTAATGTAAAACGGAACCTATTTGAATAACGCACAATATTTATTTTACTTTAGAGCAGCATTTCTTTATGCCAAACTTTGATGTTTCGCATAAGTTTACTGATATAATCAATACGCTACACTGAATGAGAACACAAGTGGGAACAATCAAATGTATCTGAACACATAATTACCGAACGTCTTAGTAAAGTCTGAGAACAATACACTAAATACTTCATTTACGAAATGTTCACTAATTGTCTCAAACTTCAATGTTCCTGCATTTCCATATCAATAACTTTTTGTTACGGTTCATTCCTCCTCGATCTTTTCAACTTTCTGCTGCCAGACATTGTATTCCTGACTAGCGTCATATACTACTTATGTCGACATGAGTAGCACGGACCACACTGCTACATATGCTCAGAAATTCTTGATTTAGTCCTGTGGAATAACTTTAATGCCCACACCGTTAGTGGTACATAATCTAAGTTGTATAATTTGTTTCTTACTGCTTGTTTCACATTAATTTCCGCATGTTTCAGTATCAGCATAAAAATTCATAGGTGAGACTATAATATATGGACGACCTTTGAGTGACGCTTAAGTGATCTTCAGAGTGTCTTCCTACTTACTTAGGCTAAATGAGGGTCATAAAGCAGTGTGAAGAATAAGGATTATTATTTACAATTGATGGTTAGGATTAGGAATTATATTTATGGTTTGCATCACTAATTGACATCATCCAAAACGCTATTTAAACAAATGGGTAAATGAATTTCGTGTCAAATTCCGAAACCAGTTATCCTAAAACTTATTTATTCGTCCGTAAATTATAGTTTTGCCAATTCATGTCGTAACTTCCTAAACATATACCTTTGTCTAAGCTTGTCGTATTTGAAAAGTCTTCGTTTTCGATTGGACGTCCATTTAAAAAATAGATTCAGTTCTGTTCTATTCACACTTTACGTTATTATTTTATTTAAATGATCATAATTTATTATAAACAGGGTACTACAATATCAAAGATACTGATATATAGATCAGCTACACGTTGATTCATTTGGCAAACTTTGAACACCGAAACTAGGTCATCGAAATTTCCCAATAAGTATATGATCTCAAGTCCCCGACGTCAGTGACTATTACTCCGAACAATTTGGGTTAGGTAACTAAAATATATTTGAGTTAATAATAGTCGAAGGTATGATCAAAAGTTAATCATCCTCTCATTTGTGTTTATATATTATGTCTATTCATGTTTATTTGCATAATCAATATATTTTTGTTAATGTTTTGGTACTGATTCATTTTTTGGTGAAACGTATTTTGAAAAAATGGAACAACTTGAACTGGTGAACTTTTATCTAAGGTTACACACTGTTATGTTTGCTCGTTTAAGTAATAACAAATAATCCTTTTCGGTTGAATATTATTCACTTCACCTTTGATCCTTGACTGCTAAACTATTTTCATATCATGGTTGGTTCTTTGTTGAAATTTCCTGTTTTTCTAATTATTTTTACAAGCACTATGACTGTTGTGCATGAAATTACATATCAAGTGATTCACAGACAATATACCTGTGCCAAATTATAAATATATAACTACAAAAAACGTTACACCAACCCACGTAAATGTGAAATTCCATCGCATTACACAATCAACAGTATTATACATGGAAATCACAAGAGACAATACATAGATGAATTTATAAAAAGAATAATAATCATAATAAGTACGATGATGAAAAAACAATATCACCACAAAAATAAGTTAGAACCAATATTGATTAGGTTTATTCAGATTAAATTAAAGCCTTCATGAAATGTAATACACCAGATTTTTGTCAACATGAATATGGTATGCCGTGTAAATAGTTTGTAGGCGTCTTGAATACTACTACTAATTACACTACTAAATAAATTTGACGATTAAATACTACATCATCAAATAAACATGAACCAATCAATTTGAATACACGAATCAACTATGTATTGATGATAACAGTTTTTTTTATAAAACAGATGTACACAATTTATAAGTTGGTTTTGGTGATTAAAAATGAATATTTCTTCAATCATTCGACTGCAGTATGTTTTTTAAACATGTTTTCATTACCCAAGATTAACATATAACAACATATTTCACTCTGGGGTTATAACTAAGTATTCTTGAGTTATATTTGCTACAGCTTACGCATTTGATAATACCCATCGTCATCAG